CGAGAGTAAATTATTCACTTATCCTTTTGTCAACGTGTAAACGATATACACAGTGGTGCGTACAGTAAAAAAATGTACGCTTGAAATTTTATAAAATTTTTTTTCCCCGTCCTTCGATGATTAATATAATTTTTTTTAATTACAATTTTGAAGAAAATTAATTTTTTTGTAAATTTCTCATTTTCGACCTATTGCATAATTACAATGACGAATACCGAGAAAACTTATCCAATGATCTTTTACTGCAGCAAATCACCTTATACCAGAATATAGTGTTAAGTCGATTGGTCCATATGCTTACCGATAGCCTACACCCGGAGAGAGAGGAGAACGCCGCAGTCGTAACAATACCATAAATCATAATATTCAAATTAACAAAGGTTCAATAAATTAAAGCTGCGGTCGTACCCGACAGAGTCAAAGAGCCTCCAACCTCCTGCCACCGTCAACCACCATCAGCCACCATCAGCGTTCCAAAACTCTGAGCCTTATACGTTCGTTTAGTCTCGTTCGCTTTCTGCCCCGAAGGAGATTGTGACCTATACCCGAGATCACGCCGGTCCATTGATACAAATGACCCAGCATCCAAACGGATATAAAAATAATAATTCCATCGATTAAACCTGTAACCTCGATACGAACAACTTCCCCTACACACATGGTCAACCTCCGAATAATCTTTCCACCCACTACCCACCGATAGAGCTGTGGTTGCCAGGTAAAAAATCATATCTGCATCCCCCGTCCCCCGCTCAAAAATATATTAATTCTTTGAAGAAAGCTGTCCGATTAAAATCCAAAAAAAATTGTCTCACCCTGTAGATTCAGAGGCATTGTATATGCCGCATAGGTATTACCACAGCCGGCAATGTGTCTGTGTGGTCGCGGCGCGCGAGATTAATCGCGAGCGAATTTGTCATACTCACACAGAGAGGCGTACGGGGCACGTGTGTTTGTCCCGGGCACACAAGCCTGAAGAGAGGAGAAAAGAAGGGAGAAGCCAGCAGGTCGAGGAGAACCCGACGTATACGTCGTCCCTTGGCTGCATATGTTCATACGTGCTCATACGAAACTCGAGCGTGTCCTCGGCCGAGGGATGACGTATGCTTGCTACGTGTGTCTCGCGAGCTGTGCTTTCTTCTCTTTACCAGTCCTTTTTTTTCGCCTTTTTTCCCTCTCTACCCTCTGGAGAAAAAAATACTCAAAATAACGCCTCCGGGTCACGGGACCTAATTGGAGGTAGCCGACACGTATGTTCACGTGGAGTACCCACAGTCACGATGAAGCGGGGATTACACTTTTATTTTAATTCTCAACTTTTTATTTGCTCCTCTGCTAATTGGCCTTTGGAAACCCTCAAAGTATCCGCTAGAACGATTAAGATTCTAATTGGGGGTGATATACTCATGGGAACACCCGGACATTTACTGATAGGAATTATCAATGTCTCGTATGGACGATGTTATGGCTCGGATAGAGAAAAATAATTGATCTTGAATTGTCTCTACTCACGGGACGTCCAAGCCCCGAAGTGAATGCTCAAGGTCCAGTTCGTGAACATTTGAAATATATCACGTCTGGGTCACGATGGACGCGACTTCTGTCGTGTGAACTAACCCATTCGATAAATCAATATTCTCTCGTTAGATGGAAAAATATCGTGGGATATTAATTACTCGGAAGTACGTAGTTTATAAGGATCGAGCGGCCTCTACGCGGGCGACCATGTGATCCGTAGGGTAGGAGGACAATGTCATTTTGAAGAAAAAAATTCCTTGTTATCCAATAGCACCGGCTACGTGTACCTATAGCCTATTAATTTTCGAAAATACGTTGCCGCAGCGCCGGTAACCGACGTGGACCATAAAGTACATACTTAAGTTAGGCAACGGACGGCACTTTGTCAACTTTCTATGGGAACTTATAACAACTCCCTGCTGAGATCCGACTCCATGACTGCACGAGACTGAGTCACAGTATATCCACGTGGCGTAGTGTGCCAGCTTCGAATAACCATCTCCTACCTCTCTCGTACTTTCCTTTGGTCATAATCTCTTTCTCTCTCTCGGCACAGCTTCCCTGGACTCCTCGGACCATAGTCAGGACTTCTCGGGCCTGTCTATCGTTGTTAGGCAGGGCACTAACTCATTCTGGATTATGACCATACACTCACACTATCTCCTAGCACTAACCCATGAGAGCGCAATGCTTAAGGGTCGTGCACACATTCAACTGCTCAATGCTATGCATACCACCCGGTGTCCCCAAGATCGAAGTGAGAGATCCGGCTGTTAAATGGGAGTTGATGTCCCGCGTCGTGATTTCACAGCAACGAAATCGGAATGCGCTCTTTCGAGTTTAAAAATAATTTATTCCAGGTTCGCCGCCCTTGACGGGATCTGGAATCGTGCGGGTAGTCGTGCTCGACATTAACGACCACAGTCCTGAATTCGCGAGACAGGAATATAGAGCATCCGTCACGGAAAATTTACCAGGTGGTGCCTGGGTAGCCAGACCATCAGCTACCGATAAGGATGAAGGACTGAACGCGAAGATTCGGTAAGTTTTCTTTTGACTCCTTCGAAGGCTAATGGTCTTCTCTGATTGTACAAGGTGGCCCTGTTTATAATCGATGCGCTTCCGTGACAAATGACTTTTCTCACAGATATAGCCTACTTGGCGACAAAGCCGAAAGATTCTCAGTGGATCCGGACACGGGTGACGTATCCACGCTGGAACCACTGGACCGAGAACAGACTTCCGTTTACCATCTGACATTGGTAGCGCAAGATTCCAGCCCGACGGAGCCTCGCGCTTCCGTCGTTAACTTGACGATTTTCGTTAAGGATCTCAACGACAACGCACCTAGATTCTCTACTCCTAGATACACGGCATACGTACCTGACGCTACCAAACCTGGTAGGCAGTTAGTTGGACTTTAGCTTAAATATCAATTAGCAATAATTAATGGCCCTTATTTCTTAAAGGTGACTTTGTCTTCGGAGCGAAAGCCGTGGACGATGACGAAAGCGAGAACTCGCGAATCGTTTATCGTCTCCAGGGCGAAGATGCTGAGAAATTTATGATCGATCCTCATAGCGGCGTCGTCAAGGCTACTCAGGAACTGGCTGGCGGCGAGACCACTTATCAATTACAAATTCAAGCTTCCGATTGCGGCGTAGAGCCGAAATCCGTTACAGCCGATCTGGTCATTCACCTCTGGGAGAGGCAGCTCTTCCCCAGCTTTCGACCTACGGTGAACACCCGGTTCACTCTTCCGGAAGACGTTCCCGAAGGAAGAATAATCACAAAATTAACCGCATCCACACCGAAAGTCGGTGCCGCGAGTAATCTCGTGTTTGGCATGGCCGGTGGTAACGTTGGCGATGCTCTGAGAATAGAAACTCATACTGGCGAGGTAGGCTGGAAATAATTATAGAGAATAGAGAATAATGCAAATTTCTGTAAGAGGCCATTGGATCATCCTCAATTATTTGATCTATAGGTTCTCGTAGCTTCGGGTTTTGATTACGAGACGGCACCCCACTACGAGGCCTGGGTCGAAGTCCGTGACTCTGACAATCCTGCCCTCAGGAGCGTCGTACAACTTCTGGTAAATGTGACCGACGCCAACGACAATTCACCCATAATGGAAGCGGCCATCTACAACGCAACGGCTCCCGAGGACGAATATCCACCATTGTTCGTGACTAGAATATCAGCGAAAGATGAGGACAGCGGGGAAAACGGTCAGGTGACCTATCATCTCGTGGACGACTTCGACGAAGCCTTTCTCATCGACGAGAACACTGGAGAGATCAGTACGAACGCGATATTGGATCGAGAGGAGGTACTCAACCAGTGATATCGAGTTCTTCAGCTTCCAGAAACTCTCGCGAACCTGTATTCCCCTAGTACTAAGATAGCGAGAGCAGCACGCGATAGTGTATAATACCTATATGTGTATACAGATACGTATAGAAGAATGTAACACGTTTGGAATTCTTCCCCGCAGATTTCTTCGTACGAGCTGATCGTTGAAGCGAGGGATCAAGGAGAGCCGCAATTAACCGGCACGGCTACCGTACTGGTCACGATCTCAGATAAGAACGACAATCCTCCGCGTTTCACTCGATTGTTCAGTGTGAACGTGACCGAAAATGCAGAGATTGGCGCGTTCGTCATACGAGTTACCAGCAGCGACTTAGACGTAGGCCAGAATGCAAATGCTACCTACAGCTTCACTGAGAATCCTGGTGGGAAATTCTCTATTGATCCTCTCAGCGGTAACGTTACCGTAGCAGGACATCTCGACCGAGAGGAGCAGGACGAGTACCTTTTGAAGGTCCATACAAATATCCTTTTAATTTACTCAATAGCATCCTGATAAACGATACCAATCCAGTAATTCTGCTTATAGGTAGTCGCTGTGGATGGCGCGTGGAGAACGGAAACTCCCCTTACGATAACGATCCAAGATCAGAATGACAACCCGCCGGAATTTGTCGAAGAATCTTATCACTTCCATTTCCCAGAATTGCAGAGACGTGTAGCACATGTTGGTCAGGTTACTGCTACCGATCGTGATAAGCAGGGTCCCAATTCCGTGATATCCTACAGCCTCTTACAACCGTCTGATCTGTTCACCGTTGATCCTGCTACTGGGGATATATTTAGCAAGAGGACCCTCAAGTACAAACATACTCAGCGTCCATCCTCACCAGAGAATCTATACTCGCTGACTGTCGTCGCGACGGATAACGGAAAGCCACCTATGTCCTCGAAGACAGTTGTCTACGTCAGCATCGTAGATGCAAATAACAATGCACCCAAATTTGAACAAAAATCTTACTTATCACCTGTTCCCGAGGGTTACCCGGTTGGCAAAAAGGTGATGATGCTTGTTGCTAAGGACGATGCTGATTTCGGTGTCAATGCTGAAATCGAATATTCTCTTGTAAACGGAAATGGAAGCGAGTACTTTTCTGTGGATGGTAACACTGGTTGGATCTACGTAAGGAAGAGTTTAGCAGGACTTGGTGTCGGTGTTAGTTTTCTTCTGAAGGCCAGAGCAGTTGATAAGGGTGTTCCACCTCAGGAAGATGAAGTCCCATTGACGTTGGTGATTGCTGGGGAGAATCGACATACGCCAACATTCACAGCGTTGAGTTATCAAGTGATAGTTCCTGAAAATGAACCAATCAATTCAACTATTTTAACAGTCAGCGCTGCTGACAGTGATAACGGTCCTAATGGCTTGGTCCGTTACAAGATATCAGCTGGAAATGAACGCAAGGAATTCTCCGTTCATCCAACAACCGGTGCTGTCACCATTTTGGAACCCTTAGATTATGATACTGTTCAGGAGTATCGACTGAACATCACTGCGAGCGACCTCGGATTCGAGCCGAAAAAAGCAACAGCAACTTTAACAGTGACCTTGACAGACATCAACGATAATCCTCCCATCTTTAATCAGAGCCTTTACGAAGCTTATTTACCTGAAAATTCACCGTCTCACAGTTTCGTCTACAAAGTCATCGCCACAGACGTTGATTCTCCGAAGTATGCGATTATTCAGTATAGAATTCTAGGTGGCAGCGGCAAAGATCACTTTGAAGTTGAACAGAATTCAGGTGTCATCTCGTCCAAGATGAGTTTCGATTACGAAGAGGCTAACAAGTATACCTTAGACATAGTCGCAGGTAATCCAGATTCGAATCCACAAATGGTTGGCTTCACAACGGTAGTTGTACATATTACTGGAGTCAATGAATTCTATCCGAAGTTTATACAACCGGTATTCCATCTGGATGTGTCTGAGAGTACTGAAGTTGGCACATCTGTAGGGCTGGTCCAGGCGACAGATCAGGATGCAGGTGCAGATGGTCAGGTGTATTACCTCTTTGTGGGCTCTTCAAACGATCGTGGGTTTAGCATAGGTCCTGAAAGCGGAATTATCAGTGTATCGCGGAGACTTGATCGTGAAACTCAGAACAGAGTCGTACTCACGGTAATGGCGAAAAATGGCGGCGGAATTCGTGGAAACGATACGGATGAAGCTCAGGTCATTATCTCTATCCAAGACGGAAACGATCCTCCAGAATTCCTTCAAACTGTGTACCACGCTAACGTGTCAGAAGGAGCAGTACATGGAACAAGAATCCTGACTGTCAGAGCTGTTGACAAAGATGTCCGTCCTCAGAACAATCAATTCTCATATTCAATCATAGCTGGTAATGTGGGCCAAGCGTTCAAGGTTGATCCACAAACTGGTGACATAGAAACAGCTAAGCAATTGGATCGCGAAACTGTACCAGCTTATGAATTAACTATTGGAGCCATTGACACAGGATCTCCACCACAAACTGGTACCGCAACGGTGCATATAGAATTACTAGATATTAATGATAACGGACCAGTCTTCGATCCACCGGAAGTGATCGGTTATGTCAGTGAGAATGAACCAGCCGGTACCAGTATAATGACTCTGAGTGCAATGGATCCGGATTTACCACCAAACGGTGCACCTTTCTCGTACAGATTAATCGGAGGAAGACAAAAAGATATGGTTACACTGGATAAACATTCTGGTCTCCTTAGAACTACCAGAAGCTTGGACAGAGAAGCCATGCCACAGCTGGATCTTGTGGTGAGTAGTCTTAAGAGGTTATACAATATCAATGATACTAGTCTAATGACAGTTTAGTCTAACGATAAAAATCATGCTTATAGATCGAAGTGGAAGATTCCGGTACACCGCGGATGAGAAGCGAGCATACGATTACGGTTATAATTCTGGATCAGAATGACAGCCCATCGACTCCACGCTCGGTTCACGTAATGGTACATTCCTTCAATGGACAGAGTCCATTGGGTAAGATTGCAGATGTTCATCCGAATGATCCTGATACTACTGGCGACTATACTTGCAAGATACTTCAAGGCTCGAATTCTGGGGTGCTCAGCATTCCAACCGGTTGCGATTTACATACCAGCAAGATTACGCCAGGTCCGTGTTCGGAAGTTCATAAATTAGTATGAAAATTGCTGCTATATTGCGGCATTAATAATTCATAGGGCTTCCCTTAAAAATTTTATGTTAATACTAACGAGTAATTGTATCGCTATGACTAAGATATCGATTGAGAATATAGCAGTAACAATATGCAATACACGATAAGAGTGGGTGCGATAAGTGCCGCTACACTTTGCATGGTACCCCAATTTCTTTGAAATCTCATCGCATCGATCATTGCTTCGTCAAAGTAATCCCGACTATAAACTGCGTTTCTACTTATTTCAGATCTTGGATATTCATTGAGCGTCTCTGGGAATGATGGCCGACATCCGGACGTCGTATCTAAAGTCACTGTGGAATTCTTAACGTTCACCAACTCTACTGTCGAGAACACAGTCACTCTACAAGTCAGCAGATTAAGTGCCAGTCAATTTCTATCTCAATATTATCGTGCACTATTGGATATGCTGCAAGCGGAAATCGATGTTGGCGACACACTGACTATTTACAGCATGAGTGAGAATAATGAAGTCCTCGACATTTCCTTAGCGATCAAAACACCACAAGGTGCGTTTTTCTTCGTCGACTATATAAATCAACCATTATGGTCGACAAGCAGCGATCGGCTGCCGAGAGTATGTTACATTAATGATATCTTTTTCTTCATCCATTATCCAGGCTACCATCAAAAATCTGAAGTGACCGAGTTGTTATTACGCAAACGAGAAGAAATCCAGTCTCTCTTGCAAGGAGCCACTTTGACTATTGGATATTCTCCTTGCGAGCATGTTGCTTGTGATAACGACGGCACTTGTAGCGATCAGTTGGTCGTTTATGAGGATGCGAGGATCACTGATAGTCAAACATTAGTTTTAACATCTCCCAGAGTATCACACGAAATGATTTGCAAATGTCGAGATGGTTTCATTGGTGATAGATGTGAAAAAAGGCAGGATCCATGTTCACCAAATCCTTGCTTATTAGTGAGTACCCTAGTGGTTTTAATGCATCCACCGTTATGCAGTAAAATAGTTCAGGATATTAAAATATAGTTTTTTATTAGGGTGGTCAGTGTCGAAGACTCGGCTACGATTTCCATTGCACGTGCCCGTCAGGTCGTGAAGGTAAATTATGTGAACTGGAGAGAGGAGATGCCTGCGCCAGTAATCCTTGTAGAAATGGCGGATCCTGTAGGGAGAGTCCTGATGGCTCAAGCTTCTTCTGCCTATGTCGTGCTGGATACAGAGGAAACCATTGTGAAGCCATCACGGATTCATGTAGACCAAATCCTTGCCTGCACGGTGGTCTCTGCGTTGGACAGAAGCCTGGGTACTTTTTGATCCATCGTTATCAATTCCTCTGTAAAGACCAAATCTTTTATGTGTAATTCGTTATTTTTTGTTATCAGATATCGATGCAGTTGTCCAGAAGGTCGCTACGGAAGACATTGCGAACGTTCGACATTTGGTTTTGATGAACTTTCGTACATGTCCTTCCCGGCATTAGATTCCAATACCAATGACATTACTGTTATATTTGCAACAACAAAATCCAATGCCCTTCTCCTCTATAATTATGGACCTCAAACTGGAGGTCGTTCGGACTTCGTGGTATTGGAATTGGTCAATGGCAGAGCTGTTTTCTCCTATGGGGGAGCAAGAAGTGCCATCACCTCAATTACTATCAAAACTGGTAACTCTCTGGCAGATGGAGAATGGAGAAAGGTTACAGCCACCAGAAACGGAAGAGTTGTTTCGTTGAGTGTATCCAGCTGTAGAGAACATGGCGATGTTTGCGATGACTGCAGACCTGGTGATACAACTTGCTACGCTGATGACATTGGCCCAACCGGGTAAGACGATTGATCTTTCTTAATCAGTTGATCTCTGAAAAAGAGTCTAGACATTTTTTCAATTTTCATTGTTTGATCGATGCTTTTTAGAACCTTGAACTTCAACAATAACCCATTGATGATCGGTGGACTAGTCAGTGCTGATCCGGTACTAGAAAGACCTGGACAAGTACATTCCGATGACCTGGTCGGCTGTGTACATTCAGTATCAATAAATGGCAGAACATTGAATCTGACAAGTCCTTTGTCTTCACGTGGCGTAAGACCAACTTGCGCGAGATCTGAAAGAAGCCCTTGTTCCAAAGGCAAAGAGGACTTCAGGTCTGTTTGTGGTGCTGCCGGGAGGTGTTACGATAAGTGGCATCAAGTTGCCTGTCAATGTGACACCTTAACAGCACCCAACTGTCAAGGAGCTTTAAAACCTATCAGCTTGAGTGAGGGTGGATACATCGAGTTCAAAGTACATATCTGGATTATATTCATCTTGACTTTCCTCATTTGTTAAATACAATTTGTCTAACTCAAAAATTTTCTTCATTAGATATCTGAGAAACACAGAAGAATGCAACTCCTGGAGTATCTTTATGGCGGATCCACATTGTGGCTTGGAAATCGTGTTACTAGAGAGACCAACGAAGAAACCAGTTTATTGGCACTGACTCCCAATCCACCAAAAACGATTGGATTAATGTTCCGAACAGTGAGACCAGACGGTATCCTTATTTATGCAGCTACCAACAAACACTTTACATCAGTCGAGGTAAATGCTTATGCAAGTCCTCATTTCAGATGTCAAAATACTTTAGAACGATATCGCCAATCGTAACTTTTATTGCAGCTTCGCAACGGACAACTGACTTATGCGTCTTTGCTTGGATCGCCAGTAAACATGACAGGTTCGATAGAAGGAGGCTTAGCTGATGGTCGTTGGCACAATTTAACTCTTCATGCCTATTCCCGTGGCCTTCGATTACTTATCGATGGCGTGTTAACTGGAGATGAATTGGATTCCGCCGGGGTGCATGATTTCCTGGATCCTTATCTATCAGTACTGTCCATCGGTGGTGTTATGCAAGAATTCTACTACGCCCATGACTCCATACCTAAGAATTTCGAAGGATGTTTATCCAACTTTACAATAAACAACGAAATACAGCCATTCAATGGATCCGGATCGGTTTTCAAAGACGTAGTGTATCACGGAAAAGTTAACATAGGCTGCCGAGGACCAATAGGAATAAGTGCAGCAGCAGCTCCTGATCCTCTAAGTATTGGAATAACCTTGGTCATTGTATTCTTTGTGACGCTACTGGTTGCCATTTTGGTAAGCTTCGTGGTATTCAGATTGCGAAGGCAAAACAAAGAGAAATCTGCACCATCCGGTGTGAATAAAGGTAACAACACCATCATGGCCGGAAATGCACTAGTGGGATCAGGAAGTGACAACATAATGTCTCGTCATGAAAATACTTATATATCTGATACTTCTGATCTGCGAGGAGTGAGCCACATGGGTCCGGAATTAATATCAAAGAAGTATAAGGAACGTGAGATAACGAATTCAGAGCACAGACCACAGCGGCCGGATATTATCGAACGGGAAGTGACGAAATCACCACCAATTAGGGATGAGCATCCACCTTTGCCACCTCCAACTCAAAGCTCACTACATTCCCATGAGCATAATCCAGAACCTGACATGCCAGAACACTATGATCTGGAAAATGCAAGTTCAATAGCACCCAGTGATATAGATATTGTATATCATTACAAAGGTTATCGGGACGGTATGAGGAAATATAAGGCCACCCCTCCGCCAATTGGAAGTTATGCCAATCACCATAAACACACTGGACAACAGCATAGACATACTGGACCATTTCCACCGCGAGCCATGCCTCCACCGACAGTTGGTCAACCACCTGGACCAGCACCAAAATTATTACAAAGTACTCCTTTAGCCAGGTTATCTCCAAGCAGCGAACTGTCAGCTCAACAACCTAGAATTCTTACACTTCACGACATCAGTGGCAAGCCACTTCAAAGCGCCCTACTGGCTACAACATCATCCTCCGGAGGAGTTGGAAAGGATGCATTAAATTCGAACAGCGAAAGAAGTCTAAATTCACCAATAATGAGTCAATTGTCTGGATCGACTGCAAGTAGAAAAGCACCGCAATCAAATAACGAGAACGTTAACAACGTAGCATCAGGCCCAATGGGTCTAACAGCGGAAGAGATAGAACGACTCAACTCTAGACCTAGAACTTCCAGTCTAGTATCAACACTGGATGCTGTGAGTTCTTCAAGCGAGGCACGAGGACCACCTACCCATGGTCCTCTTCATCTACACAGAAGACACACACCTCCTCCAGAGAGATTAGAGAGACATAATTCGTCGACGACAGATGAAAGTGGTAACGACAGTTTCACCTGTTCCGAAATCGAATACGATAACAATTCCCTAGTCGGTGACAAGAGATCTGACAATATATTTAGTAAGCCCGACGACGAAGAGGTCACGACCCGAGCCAACGAGTCGTCACAGTCAACGAAACCTCCATTGCCTCCAAACGTTAACTATGACGGATTCGATAGCTCGTTTCGTGGCTCACTAAGCACTTTAGTAGCGTCGGATGACGATTTGTCAACACATATGGGTGGATTGTACAGGCCAACCAATAATGGCTCACCCTCTACCAACACAGCTCTTAGTTGGGACTACTTGTTAAACTGGGGTCCTAATTTTGAGAGTCTGGTCGGTGTATTCATAGACATAGCAGAATTGCCTGACAGTGCCAACCGAGTTCCAAGCACTCTTAGGTTACCAGCTAGTATACCCAAGCCATCGGAAGAATACGTCTAATCACGGTGTAAACTTTTTCGAAATCCTACTTTTATACCACTGAGATCACTTTCTTAAGCTTTGCGTGCAACTGGTCGCGCTATGCAATCACTATTGACGCTAAGACACTGACGGTGCGAAATTCACTTATCAGGATGCTAAACATCTTGCCATAAAATGTTCCGTAGAACTCTTCTGAGAGATTCGAAAATATCCATTTCTTTTTATTCTAAATAGTGCGTAGGTGTTAGCCTCTTAGAATACTATTGACACCTTGTATCAGGGTGTCTGAATTTGTATAGTTAGTAGAGAACAATTGCATGATCGTAGATGCTGATGTGCGGACGTTATTATCTTCAAGTACACCACGATATTAGATTGTAATATTTCTCATTCGTTATTGATCATTTCGTTCGATTCAACATAATTCATTTCTAAACTTGCCAATTGTTCATGAATGATTTGTATCATTATGGCCGACGGTACTCTCATTTAGACTAATTGTGAAATAAGGATAATATCGTGGTATATTGATTATCAGGTGCAACGCTAATTATGCTAGCGAATCGTAATGGAAGCAATTTCCGCACGTCAGCTGATTCTCTTTGCAATACAAGGATGATTATTTGAATTTGAATACTCGTCATTAGGAACGTCATTGCGTGTCCCAATGTGAACTGGTAGAAGTGCAATGAAAAGATGCATTTCCCAAGTCCTAGCCATAACATTTTTTTTTATGAGTAAATACGGTAAAAAGAACTTGTTCAAACAGCCAGACTGATTTTGTATTCTCTGTAATATAGTCATAAAATCACCTCCAGCGATTATCTGACATTTGTAAATTATGCGCTCCGTGTGTAAATAATGTATGCGGGAGATTCGTGCGAGTTGTATAAAGTAAAAGAGACGTATGAACGTTACAGATGTATGTATGTTGTACCTATGCTATTTACCATATTTGTAATAAAAATTACGTTTATAAAAGATAATGCATTCATCATTTTATCCATCATCACTGAAACTTGTACGGTAAAGAAAGAACTTTCAATGGAAATCACTTTTTCTCATGAAGATACAATTTATTTGTTAAAAATTCTAACACGACGTTACATAGAAAAACAAATAGTTTTGGCATATTATAATGGCGTAAATATCAATATATAATATTCTAAAATAAGTTATAAGAGAGCATAGTTAACATTTTTTTCTGTTACAACGCTACGCGAAATTCATTACTAATTAAATAATATTTCATTGAACATCTCATTCGAGATGCAATACTTCTTTTTGTATTTTCCTGATCCACAGAGTTTCACAGATACTGGTTATATGACTTGTGGTGAAACTACTGTGGCTGCATATACGATTCTCATAGTGAAAACCGACAAGTACGAAAGATGTTTTAATCAGATACTGGAGAAAGACAGCTTTCTCTCTGTATTGTCGGTCACGTTTTACTTGAAAAGTAGTGTACGCATAAATGGTCACAATATTCTTGTGTAAAACAATCTATACTCTAGTCGCATATATGGATAATATTGATGATTTATACAGAATTAATGGGAACAGTGATATATATAACTAATCCTCTGTCTTTATAGTACTATCATAATTCTACAAATGTAACATATTTATGGATATGTATTATATATCTGTCTCATAGAAAAAGATTTACTTTTTCTGTGTGTGTAATGCACTTTGAGCTTTGTAAACTTACTTGAAATATATTGACACAGAATATGTTGCTTAATATAAAACAGCTGAAGCAACAAAACTATGAATGTCAATAAAGCGAGGTAGATGCATTTCATCTGTTGGTAAACAAGAATGTGCTTGCAATTCTATTGCTATGACTGTGTTATGATTTTAAATTAAACAGAATTTTTGATACTGTAAATGGGAGGACATAAATGGAATAAATTAAAAATTGTGCTCTGCAATTAATTTTAAGTGTGTTGTTACCAATTATCTAAAAATTCGAATCCTGTTTTTGGAATTCCATCATCTTCATTAAGTTGGGAAGATTGAAAACTACTGTAAGAACTAGGTGTTTCTAAAAGAGCAGTGGACTCATCGATCTCATTGGACTTAGTCCTCCCTGTTACTAAACTAATATTCATTTGATTCTTATCGCTATTCGAGGTTTTTTGTGAATTCTTTCCAGATAAACTCTTTTGGGGTACTAAACTCTCCATATCATCATCTAAGTTGTTCTGTATTTTTAATAGAGACGTTTTATTGATTAGCTTAGTGAAGATATTATCTGAATTCTCGCTATCCATACTCAACAAATTGGTACACTCACCACTACCAAATACATTATTGGAAAAACTTTCAGTCTGATAAAAATTAAGCTGATTGGGTGTAGAATCTATATGACCATAATTATCATTGACTGAACTGTCTACATTCTTTTGCATATTAAGAGGACTTGCAAAATGAGATGACTCCCCAACATAACTATTTAAAGGTTTCAGTTTTGTATCTTCTAAGGAATCTGACAGACTGAGATTCATTTGAGATTGCGTCATGAATGAAAATGGAGCAGAATGTTCATCACGCCAGCGTAAAGTCTAAAACAGGATTATCAAAATAGATATTTATAAAATGGGATAAAATAATTGAATAGCAGAACAGTACCCATTATATCTACTATGAAACACAATATACAAATACTCTCACCGATCCTGTGTCATCAATGACATACTTCATTCCAGTCTGAATGCGTAGTTTTGGAAAACATTCCGGTACATCTTTAGCAGGCTCCACTTTCTTCAAGGTATACTTTAATGCGACCTCTGGCTGAATTATAGTCTCATCAATTGCCTGATTACGCTCCGCACTACTTAATGCGTTCCACAATCCTTCATAAGCCTCTTTTGTTGCAGCCACATCCTGGCCTATCCTCTGAGCTAGAGGATTTATGCTGTAGAAATATTCTTCTGCGATTGAACTCAATGTTTTGGCACTCATTTTAATCTGCCACTAATTTCGACCCATCTGCAATAATTAAAAGATGAATCATATTGTTATTAAACTATGAAAACCGAGTATTAGTTGGAAGAAAGTCATACATTAAAAAGCAACAAGTAACTTATTTAAAATTTAAATAATTAAAATTCATTTCTAATTGTCATAAAACACTCAACAGATTTCATTTTGACGGCTAGAATACTTTTATTAAATCCTTTTATGATCCAAAAAGGTACTACCTAACCATACCTGATAAAGAGAGTCAGCTTTAAAGAACTTTGAGTTTCATAGCGTACTGTGTCCCATGCTGTAGTCGATCACTTTCGAGGGATATATTTTACGATAGTTCCAAATAGTTCCACCAGATGACATTGTTAAGGGCTGCCCAGGGATTAATGATTTTGATAAAACTAAAAATTCGGATATAAAAATTACATGCACTACAATCATTATAATTTAATTAAAGATCGATAAAAACATTATCACTAGCTGGTTAACATTCTTACGTTACTTGACACCTTTCAGTTAATGACTTTCGAACCATTAGCAACTGCTAACCCTATGATCCTGAAAATTTCTCATATAATTCTATATAAGTTGTCATGAACATACGGTACTATTAATACTATTTCCATATGGTACTAGTCATATACAAAAATTAATTTGTTGATTTTATTAGAGACAAACTTTATTTCATTAAATTATGAATCATTAGCTTTCTTGATGTAACTTGGTATTTCATTCTCTATGTCAATCAGTAATATTACTTTATGATTTTGACAAACGCTTGAAAAATTGCAGGAGCAATAATCAAAAGAATTTCAAATACTCCAAAAAATTTCTGCGCGAGTTACTGCTAGCGCCATCCCGGTTCTCAGTTCCGTGTTTCACCGTTCAATTCCAAAATTAGTAAATAAAGATGGTGGCAAAGTTTAAGCTGTGTGCCATATCGTCGCTCCGAAAATGTCTGGTAAAATGAGGTGGAAACGGAAAACTCCGATGATTTCTGAACACGATTTGAAGGGAATAGAGACCTAGTGTCGGGGGGGAATCAAACGGACTGTACCGGCGGTGTATATAGTGTTATTTTCAACATTTTCCCAAGAACGGAGCGGATCAGGAGGCAAACGCAAAAGAGGATAATTTCGCTCCAGAGTTCACAGTAAGGTATAAATTCACTCTATTTTTAGCCATTGCTCCTAATGTCGATTCCCATTCAGTTTCTTGGATCGACGCACGATCGTCACCGATATATTATCTCAGACGATAACTGATTCTCTCTTAAGAAAAATCTGTCCCGAGTCCCGTGGGCGTTTACGATTGCCCAATAATCGGCAAGGAAAGTGTCCCATCGCCCACAAGTAACCCATATGCGTTATTATCCTGCCGTTTTACACATTTCTTACATGCTAATAGTTAAATAATCGGCACCATTGGAAAGAGTTCCTTCTAAATATCAGGATGCTATTTTTATCCCCGGAAACCTACATACCAATGCGCCGTCGTACAAGACGCACTTTGACACATTTTATTTGGCCCGATTGACAATCGGTATCTTGGTTGGGTGCTGTCTCAATAAATGAACTGGCACTCCTCTTTGTTTCTTCTTCTTTCAATAAAAAGACACATTCTCGGTTCAATGCTCTTCAAGGGCTTACATCTCGACATTCTCAGGCTCTTCAATTATCGAAAACCAACCTGTGTCAATGGAGATAACATCCAGTACAAATGCAAAATATAAAATAATGTGCATTAGAATCCATCACAGCAACTGATAATAACTCCTCTTTATATTCCATGTAATACTTACAAGGTTTACCGTTTTCAGTTTATTGACTAAGCAAAGCGATGATTTGTAATAACACGAAAATAATGGCCAGACCAACGGTCAGTATATAACTGTAATAATATTTGTATTCTCAATCTTTTAAAGCGTATGCAATTTTAAAGACTCGTACAACATAATATTGAGTCTGTAAATATATCATGCCATCGTACGTTCAGTATAAATAATTATCAATGATTACAGTCTACATATAGTCGATACTGATTAAAATATCAGCTTACATAAATTCCTAATGTCCTCTTATCTGTTATCTTTAACAAGCATTGTCAGCTAAATTAATTTGAGTTATAACGAGAAGACATACATATGCAATGATTATATGATGTAAAAACGACTCATATCTATATCTAATTATTACATATACATAGAATTATTATTATCAATAAAAACCGAACATTCTTTCATCTAGAAATGCATCCCACGCCTATCTGAACGTTCGACCCTAAAAATTAATCTATTTTAATTCCATAGCGTGGAAGAGACTATTACGATGTCCACGAATAGAATTTTAATAATACCACATGAATCATTGAAATACACGAGCGAATATGAATTCTATTATATGACGTCAAGGAGAACGTCCCCGTCGCATCACAATTGGAAAACTGACCAATGCAACTATCACTCTGATGAAAAATAAAATTTATTTTTCAAAACCGGCACGAGAATCGCGCCAAATACAATGCTGGTCTACAAGCCCGTCTTGACGACAACATCATGTCCGTCCAATACCATCCACGTCATAGCGTCACGGATTTTCGAAAAAAAAAAACCCACGACGCTAGCCACGTCATGGTCATTCCTGCAATTCATGCAATTCCGCAAACCATGACGCATCCCTTTCGATGGATTCTTCGAATCCCACACGTGCATAAAAAAAAGAGTTTAAAAAACAAAAAAATGAAACTACTGAAATTCCAGGGTACCTGACTCTTAAAAAAAAAAAAAAAAAAAAAAAAAAAAAAAAAAAAAAAAAAAAAAAAAAAAAAATAATAATTTTTTCTTACAATTCCCAATGCCAACCAAAATCTTCAGCAAACCAGGTTAAACGATCTCATCGGGAATTCGGTCAAGCATGACGGATTTTCCGAAGGCAAAGGATATAACGTTATATACCCGTCCGCGTGAAATTGTGTGAAATAGGAGTCATTAGGACGTCAGCCCTGCTGCCCACGCGACGGGTCTACGCGCTGCTAAAAATAGACGATACACCGATCAAGTATCGAGAACAGACCGTTTCGACGTTCTAACACGTGTGCCGTGGCCCGTGGTACCCGGAGCTACTGATATCACGATTAAAAGTCTCCTTCCAAGTTTCGTCACGTTGGTCGTAGAATGGAGGAAGAAGAAGAAGAAAGGAACGTCGAATGAGGAATTGTTACGACGCAAAAGCCTTAGAAGTGATCGATGCTCACGACCTTTGGAGAACGGTACCGCCGATCGAACGAGTTCTAAGGTCGACGCCATACAACGTATTCGAAATCAATATATTATAATTCACTTCTATGGTATCGGTAACCGTAGCGATTCCGACTGCAACGGTAGAAGAAAGTTCAATGATCGATCGTCACTCGCTGAGAGGATAAACGCGCTTGGGTTTTCGACACAGGATATGCACTCATAAGAAAAACATATAGCCAGCCGGAATCGGCTTGTAAAAGCAGCACTGGTAGAAAGCATGCCGGACGCCGCACCTCCCTCGCTCATCCTTCTAATAAGAGCAAACCGCCAAATGAAATGCATCTAATTCCGCCCACGTCGCGACAACGTCGCCAGTGTGCCACGTTATGCCCACTACGTTGCTCTGGAGTACGTGCACGAACACCTTGCACTGGGTGTAAGGCGTGCGAGAGACAGGGACAACAAGAAGCCAGACGAGAAAATCAACGGGCATGAATGCAACGCGCCCTGAAATATGCAGACGGCATCAAGCTATGTCCACGAAGGACGATACTTTGTCCACCAGAGTTTACACAGTTTGATTTTACTCGTTACTCGACTTTCTCGTGAAGCTTTTTCAATGCTGTCGCCTTTCTTCTTCTTCATTTGGTTTTACAAAGAAGTCTTCATTCTCGGACTACTGTATCGTCGATAGATCCCAGTTTGAGAGATTTTAACTGTGGATTTTCATGTATTTCCTTGTAACCTCCAAAAGTAAATGAAACCAATGTACATTTACAATCGCGCGCCATGTGCGTTGTAAAATTCAGCGTAACTCATTGCCCCATAGACATGGTATATCAGTGGCGTAGGACGATGAATAAAATTTAGTCATAATTTCGGGGGATTTCAACAGTGATATTATTTTGTGCTAAATAATGAGATGTTAAGCGTGAGATAGTTCATGAGGGTTTAATTCTATGTGACGTTAAATGTATCGTCACTCAGAAGATACGTACGTCCTCATCTTTTTGCCTTCTATAAGATATTACATGTTATTTCTGAAGATCTGTTGGTAGGGATTTAAAATAATCAGAGTTATTCTGGAATGTTTTACATCTTCAGCAAAGATTCGTACGTACTCGAGGATAGAATCTAGGGGAAAAAACTGCCTAGAACGGAATTTGTAGGAGTAATAAAAATTATTATCACTCGGGATTAATGATTTTAGATAAAATGTCTAGTCTATTATTCAAACTGAAATAATACATAGCGAATGCATTGAACTTTATTCTCCTTCAAGTGCATCCTTCGTTTCTCACTGACGTTGACGTTTATAAATTTTGTATTCTCTTAGCTATCAAGTCATAAATCTATGGCAAACATCGGGTACCACCCGAGTGAACTCGTAACACGAACCAAGGTTGGCCGTTTGCCTTGGAAGCTGACGAGCACTGTTCGCGTTATTATTACCTTTCAGTTTGAAGCCCCGATGGACTTCTCGAAACTATAAAACACCGTCTAAAATATAATTCCAAGGTCAAAGCTGGTGAGACTCATGAAGTCTTAGCGAAGGGCTAATATCGTACTCCAGCATCTCCTGACGTCCTGCAAAGACATGAACTTAGGCCGGAAGTGAAACCGGCGTCCGTTGAATCTTTCTTACCGCTACTCGTCGCTTGTTCCATTTTTTGACTCGGTTGGTATCTGGTCCATTTTCGCTTTAACTTCTGTCAAAAACTTCCTTGAAAATCTCTAATGGCTCCTTTTGCCTTAGTTGGCGCGAAACGGCGGAAACGGATATCGTCACACCGCCAGTCTAAATGGTCTTCGTATAATAGGTACTTCTCTTGTAGATTTGGTAGCCCGTATTCAGGCGTATGGTCTTTCTCGCGGGAAGCTGCTCTGTAGAAAAGCCGACAGGGCGACACTCGGCGTCTCGGCGCCCGAAATAAACTCACCGCATTCTCTTTCTTCATCTATGCCCGCTCGCTATAGCAGCTTTAGCGTCATCCTCCTTTACAGGGACGTCGATCGTGGGTTCCGGACTACACGAGCTTTTTTCAAATGATATTGAAAAATTTATCCAACCAGAAATATATATTTATATACGGGTTTATCGACGACTCACTTCTCTTTAAAGATATTTATGAACTTTTCAGCCAATTTCCTTGCAGCATTCAGCATTTCTGTAATTTCTTAATTTTCATTTCAATACTAATTATATTGTCAATTAATGTTATTACTCATTGCCACGAATGAAATATGTATTATCAGAGTTTTTAATGGGTGTTACATTTTTTGTTGCAGATAAAATATCAAGATGGTTGTCGGAGAAGCAAGCATTCACAATATTATGGGTGGTATGGAGAGCACCGGTGGCGTGCGACTCCATAATCACAAACGGAAATTAAAGCAGAGGTAAGGAACGGTTCTAGAATCGATATAACGATAATTTTTCAATCGACGGGCTGTTTAGCTGTCGGAAGTCCTCCGACATTTAGACAGATAAACCAATGGCTTGTTGACATTTGTTCAAGTGGCTTAGAATCGGTGCCAAAAGCGCTGAATAAGAATTTCACTATTGGCGCACATTCCTGTTGTTTATCACAATTGTGCTCTCTTATTGATTGATATTCTTTTTTATGAAAATACCATAATCTTATGAATAAAAGACACTTTCTTATCGTTGGCATTGCGCGCATTTTCAGATTCGACATAATCAAGAAACTCGGCCAGGGCACCTATGGTAAAGTTCAACTAGGAATAAATAAGGAAACTGGTCAAGAGGTGGCGATAAAAACAATAAAAAAATGCAAAATCGAAACAGAAGCTGATCTTATCAGGATACGAAGAGAGATTCAGATTATGTCGAGTGTACAGCATCCAAATATTATACACATTTATGAAGGTAAAGTTCTAATTACAAATCTTCGTGCTGTGTAATTAATTGATATTAATTATTTATCTTCTTAGTTTTCGAGAACAGAGAAAAAATGGTGCTTGTTATGGAATATGCTGCTGGTGGGGAACTCTATGATTATTTGAGCGAACGCAAGGTCCTGTCTGAACAAGAGGCTCGACGGATATTCCGTCAGATTTCCACGGCAGTGTTTTATTGTCACAAACACAAAATCTGTCACAGAGATCTAAAGCTCGAGAATATCCTTCTCGATCAGATCGGAAATGCAAAGATTGCCGATTTTGGTCTTTCGAATGTCTTCGACGAGCAGAGATTGCTCAGTACCTTTTGCGGCAGTCCTTTGTACGCAAGCCCCGAGATAGTTAAAGGAACTCCCTATCATGGTCCTGAAGTTGATTGTTGGAGTTTAGGCGTGCTGTTGTACACATTAGTTTACGGTGCCATGCCATTTGACGGTTCGAACTTTAAAAGACTAGTCAAACAGATCTCTCAGTCTGATTACTTTGAGCCTAAAAAGCCATCCCGTGAGTAAACCATATTGGGAATGACTAATAAATTAGAATGGTTTGATTAATCTTCCATTTTTTTGGCAACCTTTCAGCTGCATCGCCTCTTATAAAAGAGATGCTCACAGTCTGCCCGACGAGACGAGCAGATATTGAAAAAATTTGTGCTCATTGGTGGGTGAACGAGGACTATGAGCAAAGCTGTTTAGATATTGCTGAAGATCTTGCTGCTCAGACACCCGTCCGATTGGATCTTCTTCTGTCACTGGTTCCGCAATCGGCCAGTGCTGAGAAACTAGTTGTGGGTGATCAGCAAGCTGGCGGTGATGTAGCGAATAATATGTCTTCAGAAACTTTGGTGCCAACTCGGTGCCATTCAGTTGGTAGCTTAATGGAATTGGATCAAAACAATTCCGATAGAAGAATAAGGGAGCAGATATATGACGACGAGTCATGGTCCTCCGCAGCTGGCGATTCCAAGAGGAAGCTAGAAACGACACCCTCGATGGATGAAACTATAGCAGCTGGTGTTAAGAGGAAGGAACGCTCGAGAAGAAAAGAACGGTCTGATGAAAGAGAACCTAGACCTTACAGATCAGCCTCCAGGTACTTGATCTATTACTTTATTCTTGAATATGATATTGATTCTATTTAATTACGTTATCCTGTTGTAGACATCACTCCGCTCCTATACCAAATCCTATTACTGAAGAACCCATGGAAGTGGATCCAAGTATTCAACTTGATTCTGAGACTGCTGACCTTAACAAAGCAGAAAAAAGTGCAGCTTGTTTGGAATTGATTGAGGAGACGAAGGAAAAGTCTCCAAGTAAAGAAAGGAGTAAAACTCCTGTGGCGCCTGAACAGGCTAAGGATGATTCATCGGTGACTGTACCCCAAGAAACCGTAGAAGATTCTAAAAGCGAAAAACAAAAAGAAATTACACTATCTACAAATAAATCACGCGATAAATCTCCAAAATCAGCCACTAAGGAATCTCCAGAAAAGACCCTCAAAGCCGTGGAGAAGAAAAAAGTCTTGAAGAAGAAGAACGCCGATGCGTCTGAGAATCAGGATAGCAATGACGTGTCGGTAGAGAATGTGCCAAACAAGGATGAAATCCCATCGCATACAAAAGATGAATCCAATAATCAAGTTCCTATTTCAAAAGATACCGAAAAGTCAGAGACTAGTGTTCAAAATGAAAAGAAGAGTGTTAAGAAACTCAAAGATAAAGCCTTGTCCCTTGATTCGGAATTATCCAGTGAATCCTCGGAAGCGCAATTGAAGCCAGTGGAGCGAAGGCGTTCAAAGATCTTCGAAACTGCAGAGAAGTTTAATCAGCTCGCGTCAGGCGTCGAGAATGATAAACCTAAAAAGATTTTCATACCTGGAGTTAACGTTGGTGGTGCTAAACGTGCTTTTGAACGTAAAGCTAGCCAATCGTCGGTGACTGTACCACAAACTATGAAACCTTGTGCATCTAAAGTGATTATAGAAGTGCCAACAGATAGAAAAGATGAAAAGGTCGAAGAGAAAATTGATGAAACAAGCACTAGCGATAGCACGAGTAAAGAAGAGAAAAATAAACGGGATGAGGAGAAGAAACGTGCAGTTGACATTATAACAGGAGCCATTGGAAAGCCGCCAATGCAGAAAAAAGCAAATGGTTCTCCGCCAATATCACCACAAAATAGTGAATCGAAAAAACTTGGCTTGAAACTACAGGTCGGACCGAATGACGTTAGAACAGCCACTGTGTCAGTTTCCACGCCAGTGGAAACCAAGTTCCCGTTCGAATCAAAACCTGTTTTACATGCAGAAGCGGTAAGTAAATCATTGTTAGAGCTACTGGAAGAACGATTATATTACACTAACACAATGTTGATCCATTGAATTAGGTGCCTGATACGTCTGAGTCATCCAGTAGCAATTCTATATCAGACGGTGGCAAGAAGTCGAGTAAAATGGAGATAACATTAAAGAGTGCCACACTACCAAGACCTAGGAAAACTAGCAAGGCGGAGATCATATTATCGGGTGTCAAATCTCCCGAGAATACAGCATTCAAATCCGAAGTGGAGGCTAAGATTGACGCGTTCCATCCTCAGAAATTAAGGACGCAGAGATCGGAAGTTGCTTTCCCCGTAGCAGCAGCTGTCCCGCAAGCCAACAGAAGTTCCAGTCTGGAACCGGAAGGCAAACCGAAAATGGTACCAAAAGAAAGGATCATCCCCATACAAGTACGCAGGGAGAACTTTGTATATATCGTTCTTCCTTTCCGTCATCGTTTCACGAACCGATATCACTCAAATCATTAATTACAGGTGGAATCCAGTCATCAACAGTCTGTACACTCATCAACACCCCCGCCAAAACCACCAATGCCCCAGCGGTCCATGTCACAACGTTCAGGGTCTCTGTCTCGTCAATCCACAGCAGATTCAGATACAGACAGCGCTCTGGGCTCTACTGCAGGACCTGAACCTATTCGCAAGAGTCCTCGCGAATACATAATTCCCATTGCCGTTGAGGGCGGAGGTTACGTCACACCAAGATCTGGCAGTGTTGAACCAGAGAGTAAGACCAGTACACCTACCAGCACCAGTGCGCCAAGATCCAGATTCGGAAGACCTAGAAGAATGAGTTCTCTTCTGTCAGATGCCAGCGAGGACGAGTCTCCATTCTCTACATTGCATAGGTATGTGACTATCGATCGCTTGTGACTCTTATGGATGCTTTGGCGGTAATGAACTGACATATTTTCGACAGGGACAGCGATGACCTTCTTCAAAGGCATATGCACCGCTTGAGAAGTTCTCGACCGACCAGACAACCACCAGAACACGCAGATAGCCTGTCCTCTGGTGAGGATGACGATGATGATGGATTCGAATTGCTCACCGCGGAGAACCTCTTCTCCACTTTACTATCTCGTGTGAGAAGTCTCACGCAAAGGTTGAACGTAGATGATAACAGAGGAAGTGGTTTTCCCAGTAGTCGACTATTAGGAAGATTGGGGTCGAATTCCCCACAAGGATTCTGGGGCATTCACGAACCATTGTCCAGGTAGTTATATTCTCTCTCGTTAATCAGTATTTATCCAATGAGAACTCAACCGCGCTTAATTGGAACACAGTGTTTTTTTTATAAATCATTTTCAAAATTCCCTTTACCCCTGTTGTAATTCGTGATAAATCACGAGTCCGTGTATTCTTTAATAGAAATTGCTTGTCTTTGCAAGCTACCAAAGCTACACCGAAACGCAGACTATAACAACGTGAGTCCAGCAATGAAAACTCTTTTTAGCCAGCTTGAAAAAAATATAAACTTTCGGCATCATAGGTGCACAACCTTACAATCGACATCCGCTTATCTCGACACAGCACCAATCTCAATAACCCGGCATTCTTTTCGCATTCCCGATTCATTGTCAGCATATATTTTCTAGGTTGAACCTCCTCCACGTAGTATTCGAACATGCCACGCACATAGGTCGTGCCAAAATAAACTAGCTCGAAATACTTCCTACTCTCCGTGCACAGGCTGGCATATTATCCAAAGGTTTTTCACTTTCACTCGAGCTCACGTTCTCCTCGGTACATCTTCTCTTCTCACGCTTTCGTTCATATCATTCGACGATGTGTTTTTTCACGCGATGGATTCCTCAACTACACGTACAATTCTTAAATAGTATTATGCAGTTCCTTTTTCATATACTCAATGCTACCCTAATAATTCCTCCTTATAAATATACCTCCGACATCCACCTAAAAACGTAACTTGAAGAAGAACGTATTGACTTTTCTGTTTTATAAAATTCTTTTCTTTGTCCGCTTATGCAGTAGAAATATCATAAGAAGAAAAATATCTTTCACTTGAGCTCTAATTGGGCATTGTTATTTTTGTGAATACAGGCGACTGTCAGAATCACAGTTCAGGCGATCTTTGAGTCGTGACACGGATAGATTCGGTCGAAAGGATTCGGTGGGATCTACCAATCCTGGAACACCTAACAGTCCTGGAGCACGTAGCACACCATCTCGCGACAGCATCTTCGACATGGGAAGCAATACTCTGCCTCGAGGTAAGAGCGTGCGATACAATTATTCTACAATTTACAGTGGAAATGGATAATTCTAGTGAAATATAATTGGCCTCTATAAATTCAACTAATGAAGTGATACAAAAAAGTGTACAAAAAAGTGATCCACTGTAAAGTGTAACGGGACATTTATCTATTTGATGTTGTATGATTTTCGTACATGATTTCGCAGAAGTTGTGAAAAGATGACGATAACGGTCAACCTTGAACTTCTGTTAAATCGTGGCAATGCGTCGCCTGCAATTTCTTCTATCGACTTATCTTCTGCAATATCCATTAGTCGTATGAATAAAGTGCAGGATGACACTCGGTATGCATCTCCTAGTACCTAGCTGTTGTCGAGTCGTTGATAGACAAAGCACATATTTTTGTTAATTTTATTCGTTTATCATTTTCTTTCTTTTTTTTCTTTTGATTCCTTTCACCAATTTCTGTCCGATGAATAATGACCATCTATGACTTTTTTGCCTGGCGGTGTTTTGCAATTTTTTTCGTACTAACACGTTAGCGTAGTTGTATGTTCATGTCTGACGCAGGTGGGTGAATTTCATATTAATAACATTTCTCAATCACCAATAATTTCTTTTCATTGCATCGTCCACTGGGCAAACTTTACACGTACGACTGTCGATACATATACAACTGCAAGTAGTCGATAAATCAACAAATAAATTAATTACAAAAGGAGATATAATTTTTAATGGTAATCAGCATGATTGCACGTTGCACTTTGCATTCGTTATCTTAGCAAAAAGAGAATATTGTAATCGTATGAACCTAGACTGTTTTGAAAATTTTCAGGTCATCTTGTTAAGAATCATGACTATCAAATATTTAGCTGAGTTAGCTGATAAACCGTAAAGTTTGCCCATTTACAAAAAAAAAAAACAAACAATAAAATAAAGGCAGCCCACCTTGTCCGACATAGAACCTCGTAACATGCCGTAGTTGTTGCACTGTTGTTGCCGACTTTTAAGATCCTGTAACACTACAGTAATGTTACCTCGATCTTCTTTTTTTTTTCTCTACTACTGTGTCTACTAAAGTCTAGAGCATGAACTGCACACGTCCATATACAGATATACAAAAAAAAGGAGAGACTCTATTCCACTTTCTGAAACGAAAAAGAAAAATCCACCTAACGAAAATCATGGAATTACATTAAAGTCTATCGTCGACTCTTCAATCAGTGATTAAACATAGTAATCTTTTTTTAAGGTCCACTGATATTTGACAGACTATATTTTCGGTACGCTACGTTATGCTTTAAGATTTTTATAAATAATTATATCCACTAGCTTTGCAGATACAACCAAGATCTGACATAAGTAAATATCAATTACAATTTCTCAAGATACTCAATTCTTAAGTATAAAGTTCTCATCGATTTAGTACAATTACTTTAGAGTATGTATTTATTGTTTAAAAAAAAAAACAATGTTTCACTACAATATTGTCATCTCTTAACTATATCATAGTCATGTTGATTAATTGTGGTTTCATGTTTACATCGTCATTGTGTATTTCTCACTGTGAATTGGTCTTTGTACTTACAGAGAGGTACCCAAGCTTCTCAATGGTCTATATTTCTAATGATAAAGAGCTAATATGACTTTGCGTATCGGTTATAATATAGTAACGAAGCTATGGCTACCGAAAATATACTTTGCAAATTGTCAGCGACACCGCTCTGTGATACATGTCATTGACGGTCTTTTATGACGGTTGTTGCAGCGACCGTGCGAGTGACTCTGCGTAGGCGGGCCGACGGTAATCCCCAGTAGACAAACCAAGTTAGGTACTATACCATACCTAATCTAGTGAATCCGACCATATGGCCACTATTTCAACAAGAACCTTGCCATTCTACCACAATACACTCGTCTTCGATTTCTCAAACAGCCGTTGATCGTAGGGGCGAGGGCTCTCCGTGATCGTCAGGACCGTTTGATCACGAGAAAAGAGGGCCAAGAGAGGAAAAAAAAGGGAGTGAAAATGAGGGAGAGTACAGAGATAAACAATAGAAAAAAAATCAAATAAACGGGACACACGTTACCTGGGTTTTTAAGAAAAAAGCTACAAAAAGTATATATATAATGATTATCGAAAGAAAAGCAAAAAGAGCGAAAGAGAGAGACGTAACGAAGGAAAATAAGATTGCTCGGCTTTGTCACTTTAAAACGGACATTCGAAGAAACATAAGAGTCACACACGCTAACCGCTATGTAAAGTGTGAGGAGCCTAGGCTATTTTGACCAGTAGCTGAAACCTGTGGATGAGCCTTTAGATTTTGAGGCTGTGCGTGGTATGATTTATTCCGAAGGCACGTCCGCAAGTGTAATTAATTGTTATAATAATCGGACTCGTAATTATAATGTCTTTAATGGGAATGACATTGCGTGTCGTTCGTGTGTTCTCTTTGTAGCTGACGTATAGAGCCTTTTTAATTTATCTTGGGGATGCTGTTACGCGACGTTGGGAGATACTTTTTGTGGGTGTGACTTTTGGAAGAATGAAAATTATAAATAAAGTTGAAGAAAAAAAAGTAAACGTTGTTATACGATGACATATATTTTATATCTAATGAATAATACGTATACGTTAAGGGAAACGTGATTGGACGATGCCACTTGGAATAAATCATACTGGACCCGCTCGACATGCCGTTTGTATATAAGCTGTATGTTGGCCGTATCCCTTAAGTAACATTGTTATATGACAAAAGTTTTGTATATGACAACTTTAATAAGAATGACATATACATATTGATATTGTATAACGCAAAGTGAGAGAACTAACCATTTATCCGAACTGGCTGAGATTTGTTGTGTTTTTAAGAGTTTACATAACAATGTTTTTTTTTTATTATTATTATTATTATTTCATATTGTCTCGGGCATGCTTTATTAATGCTACTACATACTATGTTTAATATATACACGCTAGATGTAGTCATAGGGCATACTCATTTAACGTTGTTAGACGAACACGAGGGTATCAACGAATCAGGAGGATTACTATTACTAGTAGTGGCCAAGTTTTTCTCCTTTTTTCTTTTTCTTATAATCGTCAAATGAGTACACTTGCCTGTTCATCGTATATTACACGTTAATATAGAAAGTTGTGTCGTACTCCGTTGTCGATGGATATTTTCAAAGCTACAATATTTCTCTTCTCCTCTTGCCAAGAAGTTTTGAAGAAAAGAAAAAAACAATTGAGGGGAATGCAAAATAGAATTCTTCCAAGTGAAATGATCGCGTGACAATAGTGATCGGTTCCAGTTTGAAAATATACATCGCGACGAGACTGTCGTTAAAAAGGAGAACGACAAGGATCTAGTAGCAATATCCAATAACTACGGCTGGAGTTTCCAAGAGTTTTTAATTGTTTTATTAATTTTTTTTTGTCCCCCGAGAGAGATTTTATAAAAACGTTTTATGTATCTAGATAATAAAGGAGTGTAAATACTCAAGTGAGAAAATGAAATTTGGATGGAAAATTCCTTTGAGTATCCTCGCACGTACATATTTCAGGTATCCGATAATATTTTCGATCTCCAATAATGTCGAGAACACCAGCCCATTGTTGTCGCGCGCCATAAGCAACAGTCGCAACGACCACTTTGTCTAAATGTTTTTCAGAGAAGGGCCAGCAGAGCGAAGCCCCCGAGGCGGAGAGTGCCCAGATGCGAAAACAGGCCCAGGAATCCCTAGAGCAGAATTTCACGCCGAGCTTGGCACGCAGATTGAGCAGACAATTCATCGAGCAGACAAGACAATCGTTACCCAGGTCACCGTCGATACCACGTGACAAAAGTTACGCGTCGTCCGTACAGCCAGCCCCAAGTTTCACGGGGGGTAACGAGGTCGACAGTCAACAGGTTAATTTGCCCACGCCCGAAGACGCCGAGTATCGAGGTAGATCGGTTGACAGGACTGTCAGGAGGACGAACAGTTTCCTTGAACCTGGTGATCGACCTGACAGATTCGACCGCCGCTCTCCTAGACGAAGCGTCAGCCTCTTCGATGATGAGGACAGACTTCTTCCGCCCTTACCAAGACAAGTGATGACTCTTGGCAGGAAGTATCGTGAACCTGCCAAGTCGAACGCTTCTGGAATACGCTGGGAGAATTTTCATAATTACAGAAACGACAAGATTCAAGAGGAATCAACGGACGATGGTTTCAGTTTACCTAAGATTAAGACAGAGGATGTGGATAGGGCGATTGGCAATAGTTCTAACTCTGAATGCAATTCGGTATCGATTTGCAATTCTAATACTAATCTACTGGACACGGCATCTAGTCTGTCGGCCAAATCCAGTGAAACGTCACCCACGGAATCTACGTCTAATATGTTGGATTATAATTTGACTTATAAATCAGATACTTCGAAAGACTTTGAGAATAGACTGTTAGCTGCTGAAAATCTGATCAAGGAATCAAAGCTTAAAAATTTAACACCTGCCAGATTGGATGTTAACCTCAGCACTAGCTATAAGGATACTGACAAGTGTGACAAGGAATCTCTTAGCTCAATTTCTGATAATGCCACTGTTGGTAAGAGACGTAGCTGCATTCCTAGTCTAAGACTGAGATCAGGATCTCTAACCAGAGAACCCGTGCTGTCTAAGGATCGACGAAAGTCTTTTACTGGCTCTCAGGATACCCTGGGCGTAAGAGCACCGACCCCAGAGCGATCGATTCTCAGTAAATTTTTTAAACCAGGTGGCAGCAAGGATGCAGATGGTAAAGATAAGTCCCAGAAGGGCAGTGGACAACGTAGAATCTCAAGGTTCCTGAGACCTGACTTTTTCGATACTCCCAGGGAGGAGAGTCAATATGTCAAAGAAAAGGAGGCGCAGAAGGCGGCGGAAAACGAGCGTAGGAAGTCCAGATTCGTCAAGAAGAAACATGAGAACAGGGATTCGCAATCGGATAAGAGTAATGACGATAACAAACCAGTAAAGGATCTGAAGAACGAAGTAAACTCTATCACCAAGGAGAGATCCGACACTTCTTCTAAAGATGATAAATCTGAGAAAGACGTGAGTTCCATATCTGAAGATTCGAAACCTAAATTTGAACGGCAAACTTCTAGGAACAGTTTCTTACATTCGTTAGAGAAAAAGCTGGAAAAGTTTAGATCCCATGACGACAGTACCAAGGCACCAGTCGCTGGCGCTTTGATAGACCAAAAGATACGATCGCTACGTGAAAATTCAGCACCGCCATCTGATTCTCTTTTAACGGAATCTGGATTGATTAAGCGTGCTGTCAGTGTGGAGGATTTAGCTCCCCAGGTTGAAGTTAGCAGCTCTACCTCAAAGGGCAAAGTATCCTCTGTCTTAGGTCTCTTCAAAAATATTGATACAAAGCAAGGTACCAGTGGTATGAGACCGCAGAATATGATTTTAAGTAAACTTAAGAAAAATCCTTACAAGGGATCCAAATCTGATACTTTATTGAATGACGAACCGTCGACAAGTAAAATACCAACAAAGTTTAGTAAACCTGAACTAAAATCGAGTAAGAAATCATTATCAGAATCTAAAAAATCACCACCAAAGGAAAACGGAACCGACAATGCTAAGAAATCACCGGAAAGGGTCAATACAAATATAAAAAAGCCATCACCGGAAAAGGGATCTGGTGAACAATCAAATAAGGAACCATTTTCTGATAAGATGTCCAAAGCTAGGGTTGAAAACTTGGATAAAGTTACAAATAATAAGGATTGTACGACGGTAAAATCATCAGATAAGAAAAATGGGCCAGTGGATACAAATACTGATAAGAAGAATAGTTCTCTCGAGAAAATTCTGACAGGTAAAAATCCGTCAGATAAATCTATAGATAATAAGCAGACTGAAAGTAAAGTAAAAGAGTTCGACGATAAAAAGAGTGATAAGCCCAAGAAAACGAGCCCTCTAAGTTCATTCGCAAAGAATGGATCAGCCTCAAAGATAGAAAAAGGTGAAGAGCCTGAAAAGAAAGTAAAGAAAGTAATAAAGGTAAAAGATGGATCTGAAAAGGAATCAGGAGACGGTACCAAGAAGAAGAAGATCGTTCGTGTCGTCAAAAAGGTTGTTAAGAAAGCATCTGACAGTTCAGACAGCAAATCAGAAGCAAAGGAAAAGCCAACGAAAACGCTAATCAAGAAAATTACATCTAGTAAAAAAGAAAAGAGTCCTAGTGACGTCAAGACTTCCAGTTCGATTAAAGGAAAAGAGAAAAGTCCGGATACGCAAACTTATAACAAAGCAAAAGAATCTAGTCCAAAGAAAAACACATCTATTTGTAATTCGAAATCAGACTCTAAACCAAATAAAAAATTATCTCAATCTAATGCTGCTGAAAATCCTCAGCAACCTGCTGAAGATACATCCAATTCTAAGGAGAGTAAAATTTCATCTCTACCCGAACCCACTGAGATCATAGAGGTTTATAAAACGCAAGCAGATAAAGTTACTGAAAATAATCTTCAAAGTGGTACTGATAATACTGATTCAAGTTGCTCTCAACCAAAGCCTTTAGAATCGCGTTCAAATAGAAATAGTTTGAAGTTAGATTTATCTAAAATACCACAACACAGCTTCAGAAGCATACCGCCATCAAAGCAGGACTTAGCGAAAGCTGAAGTGGAAAATATTGAATCAGTTACCGGTGGCACTTTGCCAAAACTTTCACAGATTGATAATAGTAAGACTGAAGACGATGTGGCTAAATTGATACGAAATCTGTCGAAGATAACACATCATGCTAACATTACTGGGAATAAAATTATCATTGATAAACCCTTATGTGCTAAGGACATCGAAGAACTTCAGAAAGAAAGAAATGACTATTGCGATACCAAAGATAATAGTTCTTCGAAACCCAATGATCAAAATGCATCGAGTCATCTCAATGAATCTAGTCAAATTCCAAATGAATTAAATGATAAACCAAAAGAAATCTTGACTGAAACAACTACTGAACAGACAAATACTAGTAATACTAAGTCTAATGAAAATAAACAGGTATCCAAAGAAGCCGAACCAGAAATACAATCTTCAAACACTCAAAATGGTTCTATTGCAACGTCCAATGACAATTTGTTGGAAGCTTTAAATAAGAAGAAGCAAAATCTGAATCTTCCAGCTTTCAATCCCAACCCAATCCCACCTCCGAAGGATAGTCCTAATGATTATCCAGAAGAATTATTCTCACCAATTGAAGACACAGAAAGCTTTGATTCCTGGTCTATCTGTTCTGCAGATTTGAATCACAATCGGAGTGAGTTACATTCACCCACTTCACCTACTTATTCACCATCTATACGAAATGATCAGCCTGAATCAATAATTGACAGAATTCGCAGGAAAAGCTTTTACTCAAGATTCAATGACAGGAAACGAAAAACCTCGCTAACAGCACCGCCACCTGGTGTAACACTTCCTGCGAGCGCAACTCTACCAAGAAAATTTAGCTTCAATAGCCCAAGAGAAAAGGATCACAGTAAACTGAGTAGCTACACAAGAACCTCTAATAGAAGACAACCAGAAAGAACCTACAGCATGTATAACGAAGACATACCTTCCCTCCGGAAGTCCCCTGTGGACCGTGACAGATATACAGATCTTGGTGGAATGTCATCTTTGTCCGATTTGAGATCTCCTACAGATCATTATGGGAATCTGTCCTTAACGTATGATCCCCTCAGAAAATATATGAGATCGCCAACTTTTGATTCTGTAAGTCCTCGCAGGAGATACCGTAGTAATGATTTTAGTATGGATAGCGACTTAGGATCTTATAGAAGCCCATTATCCAGTTCCGCAATTAATGATAGTCCACTAGATAATTATACCACAAGAAGCAGCAATGTCATACCAAAGAAATATAGATCTACTGTTACTAATTTTGAGCCAAAGACAGCAGACTACTACGAGGAGCTCCTGGCACCAAGTAATTCAGAGTATTTAACGGCTCGCAAATCACCAGTTACCAGTGACTACTTGACCAAATATGAAAATGGATACCATAATGGCAATTTAAATTTACCCCAGTATAAGGTGGACAAGTGGAAGGCTTATGCAGATAAAATGGCAGACGTGGACCTAACTGATGAAAGTGGTGGAAGACTCGGGGACCAAACAAAGTTAGTCATGCATAATTTAACGTAAAATAGATACTGTATATATATTTTTTTCATTATCATATTTTGTGCTTTTTCAATTTACAGAGGAAAGAGCCAACCCATCAGTGAATCAAGAGACCTGCCATCAACGTCATCTGAAGCACAAAGCAATGCACCTACTGCGGAGTGATGAGAACTCTAAAATGTGACATTATGAAAAAACATTTTTTTTTATAAGGATTGATGATATGATGCTAAAGTCACGAATAGGTCGATTTTGTTCCTTAGAGACCAGAGTGACCATATATCATTAATAATGAAACCATGGTAAAAGATATTGTATATCACGAAGTTGACACATTATTGCACTAGAACAAAGCGAAGCATCCAGTAGACATTTAATTCCATTAACGTCAAAAAAGAAATTAAGGAATTAGAATAGCCGAAGATTTGAAGATATTAATTGGCCAAGATAATGGCGTGCCACTGTGTGGACTTTTATAAAATTTTTGTCGACCTATACACGTCCGGCGAGACGCCGATTTTTAAACGAAAAGATTTTCTGACGAACGAATAAAATCAACGATCATTATTATTCATAAATATTGTTGAGCAGTGCAAAAACATGACAACAAAAAGGACTGCCTAGGTAATTAAAGCGCCAACGTGGGCTGATACCATAGCCTTTTTATATAATCAAAACGAATTAACATTAAAACATTTTTCTCGTTTTCTATTTTTATGCTATGTTGTTTCCTTGCTATCGCGATGGAATAAATACTAAAGAGAAAACAGAGGAGACACAAAGATGTAAAGAGACTTAAAGGTTGAATTAATGCAGGCCACCAATAATACGTATATCAGTTTAAAGTTTTCAGTGCCACATTGTCAATTGACCTCATACTTGAATTTCCTTGCTAACCCTGAACGCGTCAGTGGGTCAATTTGTATTTGCCAAGCTTGCTCGATATTCATTATGTTTGGCACCATCACGTATTTTGAGTGTTCAGGATTTTCTTTTTATATCTTGGGATAAAGCATACATAAGAATGAGATATTTATTTAAATTATTTATGCTATGTAGCAGTGTGTGCCTGACAAGTAGTAGTGTTTCTCTTTGTCTATTTTCTTTTTTTCCAAACATACTCTTTAAATTCATTGAATGTCAACTTGACTCTGTTACTCGTTATCCATGTATATTCAATTTAATCGATGACAGTTATACTTTTGGGCTCCAATGTTTATAGAAATATAAATTGACAATTTGGCAGCTACTGCCAATAAGGATTATACTATTGAAAATATGTTGTATGAAGAGGAGTATCCCTCCTGTTAAATCAACAGGATCTTCTTATCAAACTGTATCATTTTTTCTATCTATTTCTCTCATGTAAAAGATTGTTTCAACCATTTTCTTAAGTTTTTTCGTTTTCGACAACATTAACGATGCTACAGAGTGTGCTTGAAAACTATAACCAGGCCTATACTTAAGTACAAGTAAAAATACTGTGATACGTTACATTTATATGTGAACAGAGTGTTCCTGGTTCTCCAGGTATATGACATTTTTTTAAATTGATAGACAATTCTTATCGTGGACTGGCAGCTAATACAAATGCGTTAAAATAAACGCGGTATGATAAGTCGAGGCGAAGAAAAATGTGGTTCTCTAGAAAATAGAGGGAAGAAAAAAATACAAGATAACTTTATATGTAGAATTCCTTACTGAATAATGAGATGAGTTGAGCCTCGAGAATACATTGATTTTTTATGTATTAAAATATGAGCTTCAAGGCGGACTCTGTAGCATCTGAAAATGAAAAAAAGTGAAAACGAAAGAAGCTTTAGTTCCTTGTAACAATATTGCCTTGTAGTTATGTAAATGATTTCTGGTCGGGTCAGTCGGAGATGCAATCAGAAAGTATAATGTTAAATGTTTTTCAATCTCTCACTGACCTGTCCACAGTCTTCCGCATGTTATGTATGTGTTTTCTATTGATATACATATTTTAAAATAAACTGCAGAGTTCGCAATTGCTAATACGTACTATCATTCCTCTCAAGTCCTTATCTAAACGCTGAACGTAGGCATTTTGATCTGCAACTATTTTCACTACAATAAAAATCATAATCACCCTACAAGTACGTCATACCGTTATACACTACAAAATATTTTTGATACAGAAATCAATAACATTGAACTACAGATCGAACGATGGATCCTAATAAACTAAGGTTTTATACAGAAAAAAATGAAAAGGAAAATAGAAATATAACGCTAGTGGAAGAATTCATACCAATGCCTCAATCAAAATCTGTAACCAAAAAGTTTTACGCAAAACACGACGTCATTGCGATATCCGAAATTCCACCAGAATATATACAAATTATAGAAAGATACGCAGCACTGACACCAAAGGATATTTATTCTTACAAACCTCCGACTGTGAATATGGAGTAAGTAGGTTGCAGCTTGTCCTGACCCATTGATAATAATTTTAAAAAAATACTCTTCACAGTTACGGCTGGTTTACGAAACCGTTAATACCAAGATCTCTGGACCCGCGGCTCCACTTTCCAAAAAAGCTTTGCGATTTCATTGAGAACGAATTGAAGTTGCGTCAATTGAACAAGGGCGTACCTGTTAAAAAATTTGTCGGAGTACCATTCAAGGCATGATATCCAAAAACATGATTAGTATGAAAAGGATAGATAAGGAGTATGAAAAAGATAATTTTTATATTCTCGTCACGGACAAAATAAAGACCGAAAGATATCTTTGTAGCGGCAAACTTCTTATAAAAATATCGATTACTATAAGACTTTTTTATTATACTTTGCTCACGTGGTATCAAGTAAGATTCTCAGAGATGACTCGGATTCAGACAGGTAAAATTCAATAGGCGTGTTGTGCCATTGTATCCTGGCAACGTATCCTTCACTGCTTCACACCACTCCTTTCACAAGATGGCCTAGAACTTGAAAGTGTCGAGATTTTTCTACGAAATATACTTCCCGCAAGGAACTCCCGTGGTATCTTTAAAGTCTGGTGGATGGACTATAAAATTCAGTGTTCTAGGATTAAATAGAATGGGGACCAGGATCGTGGATTTGAATTTTCGAAGTGATCGATCATTGGTCTAAATCTAATAACGGTTGACATTACGGTGCACATCAGTTCTCGAATTAATCGAAAATGGCTGGACGTGGTTTTTGCGTCAAGATAGAACTAGATTTACATGCGGTAAGTCTCAAATTATGTGAGCTGGTTAAGTGACGTATTAAATCTACAACGTAAATTGAAAGTCGAATTCATTTGCAGATTACGTGTCCTGGGGTCTGGCTATGCCCCAATGGCAAAGTGGCATTGCAAATAAACACAATGAACTCTTGTATCGAATCGCATAAGATAACGCCAATATTTCCATTGCTCTTTCACGACAAATTTACATTCAAAAAAGTATTTACCGGCGTTGTCACTCTGGCTGAGTTACAAGACAGGCTGGAGAATGAATTCATTTATGCTGAATTAATACAGTGGTCTTCTCCATCAAGTCGCGGTGTCATTTTGGCAACTTTTGAAACTAACTTGTGTGACCTCTTATATCCTGCACCATGTTTCAAGGGTTTACTGGCTGGAGTGGATGTTGACTTGCTTATGGAACCAACTAAATACTTTCCTGTAATTGTAATTTATATGCAAGTCATTCCACGTGACCGGCGTATTTGTTAATATATAAGGTATTACAGGGTATACTGGCGCCAAAAATTGAAGTGTCAACTCGAACTGTCATAGAAGAAGTTATTGGAATTTGTGATACAAGCTTAACAGGAGCACACATTGTAAATCCAAAAGTCATTCATTCGAAAGTGAGTTTCATCGAATTAATGTACGATTAATAATATAAATAATTTAATGTGCCCGATATACGGTAACGTTGTAGAGACAAATCTATCGGAACAGGCTGATTAACGTTCGTAATGGAACTGAAATTTTGTAGAATCCTCCATGTTTCCATAGGAAACGACCAGCAAAGGGTATTATAAGACAAAGGAGGGTATGCCATAGTCAAGGCAAAGCCAAAGTCCAAACTTGTCTATCGTGAGTACAATATCCTATACTTTTGTAACAAATCTCAAAGTATTTGTAATATTCGATACGTCAAATTTTATTATAGAAAATGTCGAAGAAAACTCTCTAGTTCACAGTCTCCAACACCATGTCGTTGTGGATCCTGTTCAAGATGGTAAACTTCAAAGAAAATATACAATTGACATATGTGATATATTATATATACAATAATGTCTTATATACATTCACAATAAGAGATTGCACTATCGAACCGCTAAATTCATTGTTACAGTTCCCGACAAAAACCAAATAGTACCGAAGGGGCTCGAACTTGCTCTCCATGTTCGTCAAATCGTCGATCACGATCACAATCAGAACGATGTTATCATGCGGTCACTAAACAACCAAAATGTACGTGCCCACCCTCATCGCCAGAAAAATCACCGGGAGTCTTGACTGTTTGTGGCGATTCTCATATCTTTGAGAGCTGTCCAGTTTGTTCCAAGTACAAGTGTTACTTTGCCTGTCACTCTAACGATCAGGATGATAATTCGGATAAAAATATCGATTGCAAATGCAAGAAAAATCCGCCAAAAGTTCACAGGCAGTCAAAATTCTCTGAACGAACTTCCTTAGATAAAGGAAATAGTGACTGTACTTGCAGACCAAGTAGCGCTCCCAGTCCTCGAGAAGATTCTTCAACATCGGTGTAAGTATCCTAGAATAAGAACGTTTCTCGTGATAGATGGAAAGTATAGGAATATTTTCCAGATTGAGAGCAAAGCTTCGACAGTTGCAGAGAGCCAAGGCAAAGCTTGCTTATATGAACTGTAGAAATACGGACGAGTGAGTAACTCAGATTGATCAAGGTATAGTTTATTATCTCAATTGAAAAACTGTATAGCCATACGTCTTAGGAGGAACGAATGCAATCCCTCTTGTGAGCGTAATCTGGACCAAGGAAGTGGGAGACATGGTTTCTATAAGAATTTGGAGAAATTCTATAAAAGAATGTACAAACAAGCTAAACTTCGTGCGCAGGAAGTCGACTGTGTATAAAGTGTAATGGGATTATAAATTTTTTAAATTATACTTCAATGTCAAATTGTATGGGTATATAGACTGTTGTTAATAAACAACAAAACAACTCACATTTATATTCTGCAGTATACTTGCTTTCCTCTCTTGTATGCTCGAGATTTCTTTACCCTTGGACCCCGAAGTGTAACAGACTTCCTCAGAAGTGCTGGTGTTCTTAAATATATTCCTCTACCTTCAGGTGTCCATGCTCTTACAGTAATCTTTTCATTTTCGTCGGGTGTAACGGATATCCAGCCTACAAGATGTAAAATATGTAATAAAAACGTCATAGCTATAACAGCATAACTCATAGCAAGACGTAGTACCTGCACTGGACAATACAACATCAGCAGCAGATTCTTTAAGTGTTATGCCAATCGCTTCAAAAACTTTTGATTCTAATTTTGGCCAAAGTTTCAATCTTTCAGGGTTGTTAGTGGGTACTGCTAATGCTTCTGTGTGTAATAATTTTTCATAGATTTCGTTTGCATCTTCTGTCCGGCACATAGTAATGGGAAGTTCATTACTTGCAAATACTGTGCACCTGAACAGATTAACCAAAATTAGGTATGGAAAATATTTCATTATTAAATTAGAAGAATTTTATATATTATGACATACCGTATAAAGTCTCCTGAAGTTTCTATTAAGTCTAGCCTGCCTAATCCGGCTAAAAATAATGTATCTCCTAGATGTAAGACGAATGATCGTGGAGAAATTATTTCTTTGGGTAAAGTTAACATTAATTCATCCGTTGATAGTAAATGCAAAAATTGATCGTGCTGAATTACACCTGGAGTATCAAAACACCAATGGCCACTTTTAAATTCTGGATGTTTTTCATCCAAGCCAAACTTATGAGTACTCTGAGTGTCTACGTTAGCTATATAGCGACCAGTATAGTTTGTGATTCGCGGTTTTTTCGAGAAAGTTTGGCCGACTTTTCCTGTATAATACAAAAAAAAAGCCTAATAGAATATGACATATATTGTTTAAAATTAGACTACTTATGTCTAAAGTTACTCCATGAATACATACCCTCTAATGTTGCATAGCGTATCTTTCCAGTTTGCAGGAACTTATCCTTTCTAAGTACTGCTTCATCATTCTTCTGGGAGGTTTCAGATATCAGCCTCCTTGTCCTTAAAAGCAAACGCCAGTTTTGTGGATTTAAAATTGGAAATTTTAATAAATTTAAAGTTGTTCCAGGCCATGGTGCAGTTGTTGCACGCTGTACGAGATCAACAGCTTGCACTTTACAATAATCAGACTGAATTAGTGCATTAAACAAGGAGGATTTCCCAACATTGGTGCAACCAATCAAATATACATCTCCTATAATTATAAAATATTTTGAAATACTGAATCATTTTATAATTTTCACATATCTATATATTACCTCGATATTCCCATTTATTGTGGAGCTTATTTATAAGTTCCTCGATACCATAACCAGTTTTTGCTGAGACTAATAAAATATCTTTAATATTAGCTTTGCCTATTCCTGATTCTTCTAAAGATTTTGATAAGCATTTTTTGACATGTACAAAAAAATCAGATGAATCCTGTGGCAGCAAATCTACTTTATTTCCAACGATAAAAACTGGCACATGTTTACCAACAATAGACATAATATCCGGCCAGACACTACAAGGAAAATCCATCAGATCAACCATTAAAATAACTGCCATCTTTTTCCCTTTTAATTTCTTTAGTAATTCAGGATATTGATCTGGGGATACATTGACTTTCAATGCAGTATTATAATTTTTCATAAAGTGACACCTCTGACATATCATTGTTTTCAATTCATTATTAGTTCGACCAACGAATAATTCAGAGGGCAAATAACCAGGTATAGCAATATCTCTGCAATGAAGAAGAGCACCACAACCACCACAAGGTATTGAGCTAGTACCAACATCAGGTTTTGGGGTACCGTAATATGAAGAGTAAGAATTATTTTCATTTTCATCGTTATAAAATTCGTAATCCACCATCCAATTTGCTGGAATTTGAGACACATCATCAGTCGATAGCGCTGTTGTGTCATTTTCTTCAGAACTCTGTACCAAGTAATCATCAAAGTTTAACTCCATTTGCCCTAATGATTCTGTATTCTTTGCTTGTAAATACTTTTCATACAATATTCTGTACCTTTCATTCAATGGCAGAGGATTTTCAAATTCATCTTGGTCAGATATGATTTGGCTCTTAGCTACATTGGAATATGGCATTTGAATAGGAGCTGTACCTTTATTTTCTTCCAAATGTTCTTCCTCTGTCAAATGTTCATGATTCTTATCTTCATGATTCTTTTCTTCATTTGTAAGATATTTCAAAGCAATACTATATGCAGGTGTATTAATAAGTTCGTGCCATGTTCTCATCTTTTTTCTCATCATTCTCATGTTCTCAATCCTTTTATTGTTTGCATATCCAAACTTTAATTTTCTTTTTTCAAAGTAATCACTGTACAATAATTTACTCCTTAATGCTTCTACTTTAGGATCAATTTCTGGCAATTTATGTCGAGCATCCAACTGCTGAGTAGTAGAATACAGCGAGTTTGGAATAATCTGGGTATTCTTAACATAACCTAACATCAAAGCACGTTGCTTCAACGTTTTGCAATACTTGCAAATCGTCATATAATGCGTGGTAGAATACGAAACGTTTCCAGCCGATAACATATTGTAGAAAATATAAAATTACTCAACATCAATTCAGCATTAAGCACAAAATATTGTATTACATTAATCTCTTTGCTAAGACGCCGGTTGTCATCGTTGTCACACCGTTTACACTTATGAATGCTTATGAACTAAACTTATGAGTGAACATCGACATGTACCTTATATTGCACATTGTTATTTTTTTCAGTTTGCACTACATATTAGACATACAAGAAAATAAACATTTCCATTGACTATTTCATTTTTTATTATACATACAGCAAAATTAATAACATCGTACTGTGCATCTTATACATTTTATAGTTGTAGCTCAATTTAGATAAATTTTTTATAAGTGCAAATTACAAGAATTTAATCAAATTTAGACTTTCGTATAACTTTATAGTAAACTAATTTTGCTAACTGATAGGTCCACAAGTTTTTCTCTAGGATTGTTGATTATCGTATAACTTAAAAAATTTTAAAAGGTATATATTTATATCCACAGTTACAGGCCAAAAATAAAAATAATATAAATTATAATATGCAATACTATTATTATTCTACGATAATTTTAATTCTTTATCATCTTGTTTTCATAACAAAACGTGACTAATCATTATCCACCTACATAAAAAAATCTACAAAAGATTATTAGATTTCTAAAAATATTTTATCTTTTATAATTTAAAAGAGTCATGTCATTCTTATTTCCCGCATTTTCATGAATCGAATCACATCGATAGAAGCGCCCCTGGATTCATGAAAACGATGAACGCGCGAAAGGAATGGCTGACGGCGTAAATGCGCATAAGACCGACTTTAAAAATGGAAAAACGCGAATCGAGATGATACACAAGTAATTTATTTTCACGGAATGTTCTCACTTATCGCCGATGCTTAAGATGTGACCTGTTGCGCATCGATTTCAGAATTTGTCGTTGACAAGTACTATTCACGTGGGCACGCCTCAGATCTCTATCAATGGGCTGAGGTGTGCGATGTGTATCCATGAGCGACGAGATGGCCGGGTCGGAAAGGGTATGTACACTTTTTTATGGATTTTCATTGAGAATAAATATGGATTTCTTGCTATCACGTCTGCAAATCCTTGTGGTATGTGAGAAGATTGTCCGAGTGTACTCGAGAAGCTATAAGCGTCCTGATTTTATGTCAAAACACGTGGAAATACAAGACCGCGTGCGGTAGCGGCCATCTTACTATTGCTTTCTTGTTTATTTTGAAGATTTCAAATGTAATCTTGATTTTTGCGGGAAACTACACAATATTTATGCTTCCTGAATGCAGAAAAATATGGCTTTTCTACGTGGCACAGCTGTTTAATCAGTCTGTGACAGAATAACTTTATATTATTTTAGATTAATACGAATATTCCGCCATCTTACCGATACGCTGTCAATTACATCATACACCGGCTCAGTAGTGTTTTTTTTATACGTATTTTTTATTTGCTCTTGTATAAATTCTTCATGGCCTTTGATTTTTTTATATAAACTAATTGTATAATCATAGCTTTCAAGGTAGCTGGTAGTTATGGACTTTGACATGAAAAAAATATGTTTTTGGAAAATGTTAAAAACTTATTTAAATATTTGATAAGTTCAAAAGATACACTCGCCTGATAAAAGCAGTTGGAATATTCTCGGGTAACAGTTATGATATTTAACAGTTCAATGCTAATATATCGCTCGCTATTGAAATCATATGCATATTGTTATTAATTCGCAGGTATGTCTATAAAATTGTCAAAGAATCAAGTACCTCGACTCACATTACTGACCAATGAGAATATAATCACAAAAATGTTCCAACTATAATTGCCTCCATACAAATACATTACATTCACATAATTAATTTTATCGACGCGCAAATAGAATCTCGTTAGAAATACATCTTAGCTCACGAACATAAAGGAACAAGTTAAAAAAAGTTCGTGTGCTCATTTTGAAAAATCAAAAGTGAAAGTACCAGTAGGTTGGGCTGATTGCTTCCATACGTTATGCGTGTTAGCTGCCGTTTATTTACACCGTACCATACATAACTGCTCATACAGTCCCAACATTCCATATGTGATACAATCATCATAAAAACACTCGAAAGCACAGTATACCCAATTAAAATAAATTGACCAAACGAGGGCAAAAGCGGCAGAGACCTTGAACGCGAACAAAGGAATCTGCAATACCAACTGATATATCCGTGGTGCTCAATCACGTTCGTATATCATAACGTGTTAAAAATTTCTAATAAGGTGCAGTTGCGTCATCTTTAGGACACAAATACTATAACTCATTCGTGTATGAATTCGCGGACGTCCCAGGAAGCCGAGAATCCTGCGGAACACGATTATGCAAGACTTTGAAAGTGGTAAACACATTGTAATAGGTTAACGCACCTAAGCCGATCTTCTTCAGTAAACAGGATATAGAGTACACCATCAAGTACAAGAGAAAAATCTGAAACAAAAAGTTCCGATCCAATTTCTTTTACCAAGCTTTCCTCTTAGAGTTATAAACAAAGCTAGCCAATCAACGTGCGGGCGTACACACTGAGCATCCAAGAACGCGTTAAATGGGAGATAAAGGATGCCCAGCGGATACAGCCGTGCGTTGATTGTCTAGCTTTAATTGTTTATAACTTTAAGAGGAAAGCTCGGTAAAAAATGGAACAGGACTTTGTTTCAGATTTTAATCTTCTACTTGATGGTGTACTTCATATCTTTTCATTCTGGTACACCCTGTATACGCACACTTATATATACTATATATATGTATCTATTTAGGCATATGTAAGCACCTGGTATGAGATAAATACAAGCTACATAGGCCAGTAACATCCTAGACCCGGCAACGAAGATACATAACTTCCTCTGTATCGATTTCCTGATGCCGAACATTGAAGTCTGTCGAAAATTCTTAAAACTCGAGAAAATGACTATCAGCATTTTCGTATAATACTGAATACAATAAGACTACAGGCGAAGAGAAAGATATCCTATACGTACAGCCAATCGTTAAATTCCTTCGGGCCGGGAAGAGAAAAAAGGGAAAAGAGGTGTGTAGCTACAGGAACGTGAGCAGAGTGCAAATGAATCGTTCACGTAAAAGTTCAGTCAGACGTCGCAGCACCATAAGAATCAAGGTTCAACGGGTGCAATGTTCTACAGTTACGTCAGTCGAAGAGGGCAGTAGCGGACACATAAATTTAATTGAGATTGAATCTAACTAGAAGACTAGGAGAATTACATAAAAAGTATCGTCCCTACGTTTTAAAATATAACCAGCTGTAATGCCGCCTCGATTGGACAGTAGATTTTAGACCAGTCGAGAGTGTAGTCTTCTTTCGGAGGAAGCGCCGCTGCCAAAACTACTGCGCAGCGATGCTAGTCGCGTGACGCGTTCTAAGCCGAGGGTTTAGTCCGTCCTGGTATAGGGTTAACGTCGTGGTAAAAGAATGCGGCATCTGCCCGTTTCGTTTTCACTAACGAAACGCGAACTATCCTCATCCGGACCAGGTTTACATTTCGTTAGGGTTGAATAAAAATTTATAGGACAATAGGAGAGAGGTAGGTTATTCTTATTTGGTTATGAAAATTCACTTTTTGTATATTTATTATACAAACAGAATATAGATATACAGAGTATAATATACGGACAGCAGAGCACCGATGATTTAATAATCATTAAGGATTGTTGTCGGCCATTCGTCCTGGATTCTCAAAGCTCCTGCTTCCCAGTTGATTTTACCGTCTCCCGTTCTCACGCTATGCGCACTAAAATAACCTGGGAAAGTGGCGTGATGCCGGCTTCGCAGTTGGATCGTGGATTGTTGATTAATTATTTCGGGAGGTCCGATCTATTTTGTAACTGATCTGCCTTTGCGAATATCGTAATGCGTTCTCATAAGAAACCTCTGACGTGATGGGATAGCGCTAAGGAATTAAAAATAATATTCGAGAACTTTTATGATTTTTTTTCTCAAAAAAAAAAAAAGTAAGAATCTTGGTATCACGTGTGCACGGTATATACATACTAACTCGGTCTACTACGTCGCACTGCCATTCTCGGGGTCTGCTGTCAAACGTTTCGTTTTTCTCTCCGTTGCAAATTCCTTGGCGTCTTTTGCGTCCAAAGAAACTAAATAATTTTTTGCAACACGTTTCATCGAACTGTGCTCGCTTTATTACTGTTTGACGATTGAGATTTCCCGTTGCTAACAGAAAACAAGAACGAATAAGTGACGTCATATTTTACAGACATTTAAAACTTTTCTTCACTTCACTCATGATAGTTTATTCAGGCTTCGCGGGATGTCAACGGGAGCTGTTAGTTTGTTGTAAGTGTCCTTAAGGTTTATAGATGTCTTTACGTAGCTCTAGCATTGACGTATGAGCAATGATTTGCTTATGGAACATTAATAATATATATCATTTTTCACATCTGTTTCAATTTTGGGTCGAGTAAATACCCGCGGATATCGCTTATCGCTGGAGTGATATGCAAAGGCGAGCAAAACGCGACGTGGGTCACGTGTCTAAGCCGATTTTAAAAGACGACGCAATATGAGAGAAGGAGCGATTAGCTTATATCGTGTAGAAAATGAATAGAAGCTTAACACGATAGCCAATCTACAGCTTGTAAATTATAAGTCAGTTCGCGATCCGTGAGAAATTGCGGAAATTTATAAGATACTCGTTGTACAATTAAATGCGCACTTCCGTTATCGGCAACTTTCCATATCGAAATGTCTGGCGCGAAATATCTAATCTGCATGCAATTTCACCAAGGTATTGCACGAGATCCTGGAATCATAAAATGTATGTATATCTCCGTGCACTTTAACCCCATCGCGAGGTGACATTTAGGGGTATCTTATATCCCCTTATGAAGAAATGATTGTCGGATATCATAAGGCGAACTTTTAAGAACTTTCTATCGGAGTGACGCGTTTACGATTTTTTTTCAAATTTATAAAATATAACCAGTTTATTTCTCATCGTTAAGAACCCTATACTTAAAAATTTCGTGTTAATAGCCACGTAAAAAAAATAAACAAGGAACTACGCAACAGTTCAGTTATTAGCAGTGTGTCGGGTAAACAAAAACTGAAACCGAAACAGCAGTCGAAGTGCGAGAGGAACGTACGTATGTGGGTCAGGGATGATTGCCGAAGCTTTGCTTCCACGTAGCTCGCACCAAGTCGTGATTAAATTGGGCTCTCTCGTCTCAGGCCGATATTG